AAGGGGGGCAATCCTGAGAATTTGAATTTCCAGTGCAATGTGCTAACCATGCTTGCTGTTGCTGTTCCAAAAGGCCTGGGGGCTCCTGGAGGTGACAGGCTGGTTGGCAACAGGCTTGGATAGGAGGAGGGAAGAGAAGACAGATCTGCGGCACAGCAGCTCCTACACCATGAACAGGTCATGGTGTTCCAATGCTCCTCTCAGCAAGGGCTCTCCCAAGCACTGTCCTTTCTCTCCTGTCTGCCACAAAGGGTGGCTTGATGCTTTTGAAAGACAGTTCCATTTTATTCTTCCATACTGGGGAAATGCTATTTAATCACCTTTCTAAAATACTCCAAGGTAGCCAAAGTAATAGGTGCTACATGACTGCATTTCCAAATGACCGCTTTCAAGAAGACCTGGGTTTGCTCTGTATCACCAAAATCTGTAACTTCAGGTCCATGAACAACTCCTTGAAAGGTCCCAGGACTTTGAAAACTAAAGAAAGAAGTATCTACAGGAAACTGCTGAGACAACCCTCAATACAAACATATTGTGAGTGTGGACTGCTTGTCGCTTAGTGATTCCATGCCTGTCAAAACACAGTATATTAACATGCTTTCAGTTTATCCTACAATGAAAGATGGGGCTTTTGTCTCCCGGTGCAAATCTCAGCTTCATAAAATAATTCCTGCCACCTCTGTGGTAAACTGACCTCATGACAAGCAGAAATGGCAGACACAGCACACAATAATAAAGACAAGAAAGATTACGGTGCTGGTGTAGCATCAGTATTCAAGTCAAGGACACAAAAAAAACCCCTGATTTAAAACTGAAATGCAAATGCATCCATATTTTTGAAGGTTTTATTTTGCCATCAGTAACAGGCATGAGAAAATCTCTTTTAAAATGTTATTTATAGTCCAAACCTTTAGAGTTCTATTGTAACAGGTGTGATACTTGGTCTCATTTTCTTCCTGGGGGACATAGCTGAATGGGATTTCCTGCAGAGTAAAAATCCATAACTGAACTTAGTCTAGCACTGATTTTAAATTGTGCTGCGTTTTACTAGATGTAACTGAAAGAGAACTGATCTTCAATAAATGCCCAAATAGCCCACTCAGAGCAGACCATTTACAGAGTACAGGTGTGGGAGCACAACAATCAAACAGGCAGAAAGATACAACCTCACATCCATGCTGAGCCAGTTGGGGATGACAGATGGCTTCAAAAAAGGTCAAAACAACTTCATCAGTATGCCAGAAAAAAAAGACTGGTTTTATCAAAAGACCTTTTATGACCATTTGTCAGAGGTCAATCAACTTGAAGTCAACAGGTCAGGCATTTTGCTGTGAAACCTTGTTTCTACCATCCTGGTTGCAGCAATTCACTATTTCCTCTCACTATTTCCATCTGGCACAGCAAAACCAAGAGCACCTCTTCCTTGGTCAATTTGGTCCCCTTTGAAACTCCACTTTCTCTTACTAAACAGGATCTTGCAGCAGCTGGAATATACCACAAATTGTGTCTACACAGTTTGGGTACTCTTTCTTCATTTTCCTGTATTTTTGGCCAATCTTTGTAGCTTGTAGTACCACTAACTGTTTGGGTTTTTTTCTTCTCCTATTCATTTAGCCAAAAAATAGATAATAGCAGCTTCAGACACATAGCAGAAACATTTCTTAAGTACATAACTAAACATAATAGTGTCTAAAACATTTCTGAATCAAGCAAATAAGATGGATATTCCAGGCACAAAAACTGCACACACTCAAAACCAAAACATATGAAAAAAGAGGCACACATAGCACTCTTGAAACATTGTATGGCATACATACCAGCCAGATTCAAAGTGAATATAAGCACAAAAATGTAATTCTAGTTCAAAATATGGACTTGTACACTTTATACTGATGCTTTTTTCGTATAGGTTGACTGTATGCTAGTAATTGGTTTACTCTGCATGTGTCATACTAGTTGGCAGAGGCCATTCCTAAATAACCATATATGTAGCAGAAAAGACACAAAATGATTGCAAAGGAAATTTATCAATGCAGTTTAATCTAAGTTACACAGATAAAAGCAGAGTAAACCAGTAGAATTGCTAATTACACTGGTTTAAAGTAAAACATTTGCATACACGTAGCTGTTTTGTATTACACCTTTGCTGATAACCAATTTTACACATTCTGCTGTTTTGGCTCTCTACTCCAATACAACAAACAGTTTCAGTAAAAGAAATCATTACAAGCAGAGCTTCCAAGCAGGTTTGCAGCTTTTGGTGGATGATCCAAACTCCCTCAATGCATCACAGAGGAATAATAAGCTCGGTATAGTGTAGGGTCTGTAGCTATCTGAAGCACCTTCACCTCCTCTGCTAGGAGCAGCAGTCTCTTAAAACAACATCCATCAGTTCAAACGAGCCCAGTGTTCACTCTTATTTCATCACTTATTTTAGGTGACTGTGCAAATACCTTCTGAGTTTCCTTTGTGATTTGCTTTCTGAAACAGAAGAGCAAAAATGTAAAATACCACAAAATGTAAGGGCTTTATGTAACCTGAGGGTCACAAGTACTCAAATCCTTCCCTTCTCAAATTTAACCACAGGATGAACGAGACTAACAGTCTATTTCAATACTCCCTCTTACCCATATATTTGAGATTAGTTTCTATTCATTTCCCCTGTTCGTAGAGTAAAAAGAACAGGAAGATGTAAAATTATTTCAACATGTCCCTTGCCAACACAGGGTGGTTGAATTATTTTCTGCAATTCCTACATTTTTGCAGACCAAATGCCAAAGTTGTGAAGGACATCTGTGGGAGAAAAGCATACTGGCCTTCATGTTTCAGGACATACACCCACTAACAGTGGCCTTGAATTGAGGAGGTCTCTACGTTCTGAAAGCAAGTGATACAGAGGAGAAGTAGGGATAAATGGGGGAACACGCACATTAATACAAGAAGAGGATGTAGAGAAGAAAAGGGAGGTGCAAACATTTCTACATTTCCAAAAGTATTCATTGCCTCACAGACCACCACAGATCCTGACTGAAGACAGATCTTAACTCTTCTCTCCTTCAGGATTTCAGGTAGCGTAAATATTCATATCAAAATAACTCATTTTACTTTGGAATTCTTAAAAATTCGTATTAAATTCTTTAGAACTGAGTAGTTAAATGATGGCATAAAAGTCATGCAGGGGAAGGGAGTGCTTATTTTTTAGTATAAAGCGTAGCCCTTAGAAAAACCCCGTGCCAAGGCACAATGGTCAGAATGCAAGCCCAGGCTGGGCAAAACCTACATAGCCTGGGAGGGCTGAGTTTCCTCACCTGTAGGAAGGGTGCCTTAATCACCAGGCTACCAGTCAATTTAGGATCAGAGGACTGAGAACAGGCTGCAGGAGAGAATACCCTTCTGCTGATCCTGGAAGTGAACACACAAGACAGTATGACTCTGTAGCACAGTGTTTGGGATGCTGAGCATTGGGTGTATTGGTTCAAGCCTTGCTTTATTAATATCTAATAACTATTGGATCAGGCATCCAGACTTTTCCTTTCTCAGGTGACTGAAAGTAGACTTCGGTCTAGTAGTAGCCAAAGTAGTCGACCAGTGGCTAGTAGTCCAGTGAACCTCACAGAAACACATACGTGTTCTCTCTCTCAAGCCTGAGAAATGCTTGATTGCTCCACGCAGATTCAGTTCAGATACTCTCTGGGAACAGGAGATGGAGATATGAGTTTTAAATTCTTCAGGCAAAAATGTTCAGCTCAGCCCTGTTTCCTAGATATGCTCCGGGAGTATCAGCATCTCCAGGCACAACAGTAAGAGATATCTGATTTGAAGGTCCTGAAAAAGCTTACGTATGAGCTAGGCTGCAGGGCATCCACCTCTGAAGCACTCCTGAGAATGCTTCAAAGCAGCTGAGGAGCCCTGGGAAGCTCTGAAATCAAAACTCGAGGATCCCAGAGGCTCTGGGCATCTCTAACATTACATGGCAGCTGCCTTTGAGGACTGCAGTTTTTGATTTAAGCATGTAAATTGTGGATGAAGATAGATTTAAATGTCCAGTTGTTGGTTTTGATCTAATGCTTAACCGTTCACCTGATGTCATCTTATACTGACTTTAGTACATGTTTTAATAGTCCTTATACTGGTGAAGACAACGGAAATTTCTGAATTTATCCTAATATTTGTCAATAGTATTCAACTGATCTAAAATATGCTAATAAGAAGCACAGGTTTGTTCTGGATCCACGTACAGAAAATCAGTTTTAATCCTGGGGTTGGGGTTTTTTTTTTGTTTCCTTTGGTTTTGTCCTGTAAAAACACACTTAGAAAAAGAAACAGAACAAGGATGGAAAATCTGCAGGTTCTGATAAGCCAGCAGGAAATCAGGGAAAATTTGATGTTGTTTAAAACAGGAACTATTTGGGTTTGTAAGTAAGATACAAGAGTTTACTTGAAAAACAGTAATTAACAAATCCAGCTACAGCTTCCAAATGTGGGTTCACCTACACCAAGAACATATAAAAATCTACAGATCTCTAGTAGCCTTCAAGATACAGGTAGCAAACCACATGAATTCACCATGCTTTTTTCAGCAGAAATTAATAGCACAGGAAGTTTAAAGAAATAGAAAAAAACTCAAAGCAGCACAGTGAGAAATGATTCTGTTTCACTTCCTTGGAATTGAAGAATAATTCTACGAAACTTAAGCAAATGGGGTTTTGAAATAAGTTTGGTCTGTGAAAACATTTCCAGCTAAAATCATGCTTATCTGATGAAGAAAAAATAAAAAAGCTGAGGACATTGAGGAGTGATGGGGAAGGGAGAAATAATGCTGAGACCTACCAGCTGACTGTACTTGGTCTCTGTGCAGTTTTTTACCCATTACAGGGACATACTCACACTGTGTTTGAGGGGATGCAGGCAATCTCCCACTACCAGCTTTGTATTTTTTAAAAGAAGTGAAGAAACAGCCATCACCTCTCTCTGACACTCATTTGTCTCAGGCTGTATCGATGGAGTCTCTCTCAGTGTCAACCAACAGCTTCACTCTGGACCTTTACAAAAAGCTGAATGAAACTTCCAAAGGCCAAAACATTTTCTTTTCTCCTTGGAGTATTGCAACTGCTCTCGCCATGGTCTACCTGGGTGCAAAAGGCGACACTGCAACCCAGATGGCTGAGGTAAGCTCTGAAATTAGCAGTATATCATGTTACAGGTGGTTCCCATATAAATTGTGTTATTCTTGTGCCTATGGAGAACAGAAAGCCAACATGGGAGAACAGTGACCTGCCATAACGTTGGTACAGAAAATAACTCCTCTCACACTGCCGGCAGTCCTGCAGGTCACTATTCTTCTACTTTATTTCCAAAATCTCCCTGCTCTGCACTACCTCTACATTTAGCTTAGACTTACAGTTCCCAGAACATTGCAAGTGGTCTGCCAGAGGGAAGTTATTGGTATTAGAAACTACCGCTGGTCTTGCTTGGAATACTACCTTCCATTTTAATTGCTCTTTGAACTAATAATTCACCTAATACAGCGCACAAATAGCAATGAAGAGACAACTTTATTAAAAAAAAAAAATAGGGAGCTAAGGTATGCTAGAAAAAGGAAAGCTGGAGATAATATCACTGCTTCTAGACCCCAGCTCATTCTGGAAGCAGTATATCTGCTTTCTCATACTGCTTATCAAAGTTAGTAAACTCTCCTGAATGTGCGTTTGGCTGCACAGGAGCAGTACAAATACCTTTGCCTGTGACATAGCCAATAAATAAGGTAACCCTCCCATGAATAGTGGAGACATACTAGTACTGAAAATGTGATTTCACCTATGCCCACTTTTGCAGAACTTTTCAATCTTTGTACTCTTTTAGGTTGTATGCAGTTACTTAAACACAGTAAATGGATAGTTTTATATTTGCGTCCCAGTAGTAAGACTCTGAAATGTGCTATGCTCTTTGCTGTGTTTCATCATGATCTGAAAATAAATTCCATGCAGCTAAGCACAAACTGACCATTTATCTAAATAAATTAATGTTTGAGCCATAATATTGATCTACTATTAAGTAGTAAATGTGACTAAAATCTATATAGTAATGATACAGTTATAGAGACTAAGTTGAGAGTAAGGTCTTGTCCTCAGTAACTTTAATAGACTAACTATTATTGGGCATGACTGGCGAATTACGGTAGAAAACTGACATACTTACACAACCCTTGGGCACACTTATCTTCAAAAAACAAGCTGTATTTATGAACATTTATCATTATCACAGGTTCTCCATTTTAACCAGACTGCAGGAGAAGAAGGTTCGTCTGAGACAAGTCCATCTCCAGGGAGATCAAAGAAAAGAAAGATGGTATTTATTACAACAAAAGACTCAGAGACAAAAAACTCTGAGAATAGGATAGTTCAACATAACTACTGCTTTAGCCTTCCAACATCTGCTTGCCTTCAGTCTATACCTACTGTCTCACTTCAGTAAGAACTATATATAGAAAGAGAAAAAGCAAACAAGCAGTTAATGTTACTGTAAAATTCATGAACTCAGGCCTTCAAAAGCAGAACTGAGACACTAACAGCATTTTGATCTACCCTAATACTGTCTTACTTGGTTTTAGCTGGTCTATGGAACTATCAACAAATCAATTGCCCTAATATGCTTAGGACAATTCTCTCTCTTATCAGCTTCAGGGTTTTTTTTCTGTAGTGAAAAAATCTGTTGCATTCACACCTGATTCCAGCCCTACCCAATAAACTACCTTCCATTTTTCTCACGCATGGACACAGCAGGCAAACAAAATTCCCCTTGAAGCTAATGCATGCTGATTCACCCTTGTTCATCAGCTCCCCGGAGACTTGCCACCAGGAGGAACTGCCCAGATCTTTTTCATGAAATGAACTCCCTAAGCACTAAAAGGCTTGTAAACTCAAACAAGCCATATTTCTTTGGCATAGAAACTAAAAGAAAGCTCAAAGAAACTAGATTAGACAAACTGGAAATACAAGGGGGAAGGGGGTTATATCATTCACTCCCTAGATGGTGGGGGATGAATTTTCAAGATGAATCATTACATCCACATTCATTTTAGCAAATCACTGACTTTCTGAGATGTAGTAAAGTCTGCCTAATCTGGTCCTTGAGACATTTCCCTCTATTACCTCTTCAATCTGTTCCCATCCCATTGCAAAACCCAGCCTCTGCTATCCTGTGTCCTTTGGCTACCAAATTCTTTTCTAGGTGTCCATCCTAGCAGCCCATGTCTCAGCATGAGTGAGAAAAGATAAGAGCAAGGAATGCCACCTGGCCAACCTTATGACAAGTCCCCATTAGTCAGTGGCACAGACTCTCAGTGTCTCACGTGTAGAGCATGGTATATGCCATGGAGGAGGAGACTGTACCCAAGCAGCTGGCAGGTAGCAGCTTATTCCTCTGTTAGCAAAGCAACAGCTGGCAACAGCTGGCAAGCAAGCTCATGGTCCCTAAAACCATCAACATGGACATCCAGTACAAATCCCCTCCAAAATCCAAACAGCAATAGCAAAATTCATGCGAAACAGAGAAAATCTGAATAGTTGGTAAGTCCGTGAGCTGACATTGGTGTCTGTCAGAACAGAGTACCTCCTCAAAAGCTGCCAGGCTGCATTGATGGGTCCTTTTGAAACTGAAAATTAGGCCTGACCATGACTGAAACGAGGAGATTCAGCTTCCTGGGTGCACCGTCAGCTGATGTCCCTGAAGGCCTGCACAGCACTGCCAAAACAGATCACTGCCCTACAGACAGAGAACAATTTCTTCAGTTATACATAGTGCTGCAAACATGGAAACTACTTAGAAAAAGAACTCCATCCCCTGAAACTAATTTTTAATTAAAACAACCTGGACATTTCAAATAACCACAGCAGGTGCAACACTTCAGTGCCATATTAATTGGTGTCTCTCTCCAAGGATCCTGAGCACAAGCAAGCTGAAAACATCCACCTTGCCTTCAAAGAGCTTCTGTCTGCTATCAACAAATCCAGAAGCACGTACTTGCTGAAGAGTGCCAACCGACTGTATGAGGAAAAGACCTACCCATTACTGCCTGTGAGTTGAACATCTTTACTTGACAATATTTTGATATTAAGAGGGATTATCAATAGAGATGATAACAAATTTCCAAATGATAGCACTGTGGTTTTAGTGAGAACATGAGGATAGCCATACAGGGCTAGCCTTGGACAGACAAGAGGTCCATCTGTCTCCAACAGTGGGCAACAGTTTAGGAAGTGCATGACAGCAAGGCATGCTGTGTAGTGATGCTTCTCCAGAATCTGCTGTAGTCACCAAGTGATCTGCAGCTCAGGAACTTCCTGAACCAGAGGGCATGTCTACTTAATAGACCTTGATGAGCTGTTCTTTCATGAATTTGCAGACTTGCCCTTTGAATCTACTGCAACCCTCAGTTCCACAGCTGAACTATACACTGTAAGAAGTGCCTGTGTCTTTCGAGCCTGCTGCCTGTTGGCATTGTTACTGGTTCATTTTTCCTCTAAAGGATGCTTCTCCATACCTCTGGTCATCTTCGTCCCCTGTCTCTGTATCTTTTATAGTCTAACATTTCTGAGACTGGGGAGGGCAGAGCTGCATAGAGAGCTCAGACAATGGACACACCATAGCTTTGTACAGTGCCATTCTAGTATTCTCTCTTTTGTTCCCTACTCCTTTCTTTGTAACTCTTAAATTTGTATTTACCTTTTTGGCTGCTATTGGGCAGATTTTTTTCATGCAACTGTCCATTATAGCTTCAATACCTCATTCCTAAACAGTAATAATCACTTTCTATACGTTACACTTCTTTGGACCATTTCTAAATATTTTAAGATTTGTATTTTAATGTAAACATTTAGACCTTAGTTTTACAGAATAAATACTTTAGCACAGACCCTAGCACATATCCCCGTGGTACGCCAGTAGTAATAACCCTTCACTGTTAACACTATTTCCACTTACTTTCGGTTTCCAGTCTTTTAAAGAAACAAGACCTATCTCTGTAGTCCCATGGATGCCCAGCCTTTGGTGAGCAGTCTTAGGAAATACCTTTTGGTAATCCAAACAGACTGTAATGGCTCAACCCTGTTACCCATATGCTTTCTGACACCTTCAAAAAAATCCCAACAGATTCGTGATTTACAAATTCCCGTTACAAAATGCTGTTGACACACCTCCAGTACATCATGTTTATCCATATGCCCACTACACCTACTCTATTCATTTGCCCCGTACAGACTCATGAGTTTGTAATTACCCGTATCTTTGAAATCTTTTTTAAAACTGACGCTGTATTAATCATCTTCCAGTTTCTTGGAAGGTAGTTTTCAATGAGATAACTGTTCTTTGATCTTGGAGTTTGTTTGGTCTCCTGAGTAATTAGTGATTTTTCCTTCTGAAGTTTATTGCTCATTTTCTCCATAATCTCATTTACCTATGCTTTACAGAGAATTTCCTGCTGGGAATTTCCATTAATTGTTTCACAGCAGACAGCAATGCAAGTGTTAATTCTGCTTTTCTGCCATGACTTCATTCTACCAGAACATTCCCTTTATACCCGAACCTCTATTGTCCTCACAAACTCTTGGCAGGTTTCTCGCCCCTGAAGCAAACTACAAGACTTGTTTCAACTTTATATGAGATACTCTTCCCTCTTGTACTGAACTCTACAGCACAAAGCAGGACAAAAAGTATTTAAATAATATGAAAAGGTCATTTTTAGAAATTAAAAAAAAAATTGTGGAGAATGTTTGTTTCATGAGGTATTTCAAAATTACAAATTTGCACCTTGGATTTCAAACAAAAATTTGAAGTATCAGTTTCCTTGAGATTGAATTTCAATCAGTCTTAACACTTAGTATAGAATGTATCAGACCTTATTTTAAGAGTTATCCCATTTAAAACAAATTATATTTTCTTCAATTATCTATTAGAAGATTGTATAATCTGTTGAAGTGATTATTTCTAACATTTTTATAACTCAAATTGAACTAAATAAGCATATATTTTCCAATTCTATCTTTCAGAAATTCTTACAGCTCATTACAAGCTATTACAATGCAAAGCCACAAGCTGTAAACTTTAAGACAGCTGCAGAACAAGCCAGAGCACAGATCAATTCGTGGGTTGAAAATAAAACTGAGAGTAAGTACCACTCTGATGGCTTTTTTTCTTGTTTCATTTTCAAATCATTTGTATTTCCACATGTATTGCTTTTGCAGCCAAGGATCCATCAAAGATGGAAACTCAGGGGAGGTGATGAGCAAAGTGCAGTTAAATAGCTTGAAGAATGCTTCTCTCCAAACCTAACTGCTGCTCCTTACAAGGTCCTTCCCTTGATTCTTCATCCCGTAGCCTCTTTTGAATTATCTCTGTTCAGAGGGAGGCACAAGCAGATACTGAGTGGCTGCACTTCAATTAATGAGGGTTTTACTTCTGCATTCTTCAGCTGCTTGCAACCAACTTCACAGAACATCCAAGCTATTCCACTTTATCCACTTTCCAATGCCATTTACTACTGAAATTGCAATAAATACATTTAAAAACAGAAACCTAGTGAGATACTTCAAAAGTCATTTTTACCATATGTACACCATGAAAAATGTACAGTAAAAAAACCTCCCAAGTGCAAACATTTTTGCTAGATAGGTAGGCACAGAGAAGGCACAATTAAAATTGGCTAGTTACAGTCACACTGGAATAACAGTCGTCTTTGTCTGATTTTGAAGGGAAAATACAGAGTCTGCTGCCTGCAGGATCTCTCAATTCTCGCACTGTGTTGGTCTTAGTAAACGCCATTTATTTCAGAGGAAACTGGGAAAAAAAATTTCTGGAGAAAAATACTTCTGAGATGCCCTTCAGACTGAGCAAGGTAAATTCCTTGTCTATATGCCTTTTGTCACATGTTAACATGTCTATTATTGAAGAGCGAGAAACCTCTAAATATTTCCCCTGCGTTTCATATGCCACTGCAACACTACTCATAGCTGGGCACATGGTATAAACTCAGTGAGAACGGCAACTGTGAAAATAAGTCAGCATTATCTTATTTGCATATATCCATGAGGATAGGATTTTTGATTAATAGCTCTGCAGTATCAAAACACTTGAGAACACTGTGGTTAAGTAGCTTAAGGACAAAGAAATTTCTGTAAGCACCAAGGTCCCATTTTCAAAAGGGACTGAGTTGCTTTTGAGAACAATGCCTACACACCTACAGCTCTTTTCTGCTTTTGAGACACACACAGTCTATGCTCTGAGCTCAAGAAAGCTGAACCAGCTGCTCTTTCCTCACACACCCTGGCTGTCGCGTAAAACGTCAGAGGGAATTGTCATGGGGTTTTGTCTTTTAGCTGAGTGTGTAAGGATGATGTATTCAGTATACACTGAGGGCATGTTATTGAGCTAACAGTATTTAAATGATCTTGTGCTGATGATTCACAGTAGCTGACTGCATGCATAGTTTTGGACTGTGTCAAAGGCAAGCAAAATTATTTATCAATGGAAGCACGTATCTTGTTTGACATAGATTATGAGTGCAAACACCTGTTGTATGCCAGGCAATGTGAAGCAATTGTGTCAATGATGCGACTGTGTATCTGAAACCTACTACACTACGTGTGTGGTTTTAGGATCTCATGGTACATGGTTGGCTGACAAGTGCCCACCAAGCTGCTCTATCACTCTCCTTTCTCAATAGGACAGAGGGAGAAAAATAGGATGAAAAGCTCATGGGTTGAGATAAGGACAGAGAGATCATTTACCAATTATCATCACAGGCAAAACAAAGTTGACTTAGGGAAATTAATTTAATCTATTGCCAATTAATCAGAGTAGGTTAATGAGAAACAAGACCAAATACAAAACACCTTCCCCCCACCCCTCCCTTCTTCCCAGGCCCAACTTCACTCCCAAATCTTCTACCTATCCCCAAAAGCAGTGCAAGGGGACAGGGAATGGGGGCTGCAGTCAGTTCATCACACATTGTCTCTGCCGCTCCTTCCTCCTCACTTTTCCCCTGCTCAAGTGTGGGATTCCACCCACAGGATACAGTCCTTCATGTACAACGTGGGTCCTTTAAGGAATGAAGTAACACTATTTTTTATGTCTGATTTTTTTCACAGACCAAGACTAAACCAGTACAGATGATGTTTCTGAGAGATACATTTTTGATACTCCATGAAACAACCATGAAATTCAAAATCATTGAGCTGCCATATGTGGAAAATGAACTCAGCATGTTCGTTCTCCTACCAGATGACATCAGTGATAACACTAATGGCCTAGAGCTGGTAAAACTGACCTACTGTTGCATCACATACACTACGAGACAGTAACAGAAACAGATGAAGTGAGGAAGAATGAGCTTCAAAATCACGGTTCAATAGTTTCTGATGCACGCATACTCTGTATCATAAACTGTACCACCATGATTTCTCAGCTCAAGACTCAGGGCATCTGATAACATTGCAAACACAGTATTTTACTTAGGGATGCATCTAAAAACTATGTCCACACCACTGTCTTAGCCTATTTTGTGTCCTCTTCTACTGCCAGAATAGCACAAGGAAAGCAAGGACCAAATGTGAATCGCCATGCCCTGGAACTATCTTCTCCTGAGGCCTATATTAATTCATTTTTACAACATTTGCAGTCCAGATTGGCACTCAATATTTTGTGGTGAGGTTTCTCAAACTAAGTGCTGACTACTCTGACCCAGAAGGTACCAAGAGCCACTCACGACCATGCCAGGATCAGTTTCAGATTCTAAACAAATCAGGGCAAACATCTTTCTATTTGTACCTGAGGTCCCATGTGTTCCACTTATTTACCACTACTAAGAGAAAAGTTTTCCATATACACACATAGCAAGCCCCTATTAATATCATTATAAGCCACAGATTGCAAAAAAGCAATATTCTTTACATCAGTAAAAAAAACCTGAACTACTCTGAGGGTTCAGGCCTATACCTCACCATCTTTAAGAAAATAAATAGGAGTATAACTCACTCGGCACTGTGCAGGATCATGCCCTATGAATACGGCACACAGTCCAGCTGTGACCACTGCTGGTAGCTGGGCTTTATTTTACACGTTCTCGATGAGTGTTAAGACACTGCTGTGTGCACATCTTGTCTCTGTACTTCGCATTCCAACTATTTTCTTCCTCAATTAATTGCAGGTAGAAAGAGAGCTGACTTATGAGAAACTAGCTGAATGGACCAAATCAGCCAATATGATGAAAGCCGAAGTGGATCTGTACCTTCCCAAGCTGAAGCTGGAAGAGAATTATGACCTTAAATCCACTTTGAGCAGCATGGGGATACGAAATGCTTTTGACCCTGTTCAGGCTGATTTCACAGCGATGTCAGTGAAGAGGGATCTTTTCATCTCAAAAGTTATTCACAAAGCTTTTGTGGAGGTCAATGAAGAAGGTACTGAGGCAGCAGCTGCCACAGGTGTCCTGATGCTGAGATCAAAATCACCAACAATGACTTTTAAAGCTGACCACCCTTTTCTCTTCTTCATCAGACACAACAAATCACAAACCATCCTCTTCTTTGGCAGACTTTGCTCACTCTAGTCAGAGTTACTCCTTGCCCTGCAGAGCAGGAGATGCTTGCTTGCCAGCACAGAGGCAAACACCAAAACCTGAAACTCCTGCTGCAACTGCGGGGAGCAAGACCTGAACCTTTTCTCCGTCAGACCACACACCCCAGGGCCTGAGGCACAGCTCCTCCTGTGCCTCCCTCCTACCCCGAAGGGACAACCAGGGCAGTGCCAAGGGGAGCGCACGATGCCTTGCATCCACAGAGCAATCCTGGTTGTCATCCAGACCATGCCATCAAGGTTAGCTATGTCCTAACCACTGTTAGCTATGACATTTCTATCCCTTCCTCTCACAGCAGTGTGTACAAATGTATGCTAACACAGTCCCCTTCCTCACCCTCATGGCCAGAGCCCCTGATCCAGTGTGGTCTTAGCACTTACTCCCAGCAGTTAGACCCAGCTCCTCTTTAGCCCTTGCACTACAGCTGGCAGCAGACCCTCCCCACCCACCCAAGGCCTGTGGCCATCCCCTTGCCTTCCTTCCATATCTCAGCTGCAAGTCTTCATCAGCTCCCAAATTAACCTCAAATTAGCTCCTCATGTCACTTCATTAACAAAGGGTTAAACAATTCAGTTAAATTGACAGAAAAACTTTCTTTGACAGAAAAATATTCTTTAACCTGATATCCCAAGGTTGGGAAGCATTAAGAACAAATGATGAAAAGGGGACACGTTATCTAAGTAAGTAAGAATGTAGAGAGAGACTTTCAAGAGAGGGAGTTCTAGACAAGCTGATAAAACGTTACAACCCACAGATATCGACAGTAAGTTGGCTGACAGCAGGACAAAGGTAATTGTGGTACTGGGAGGTCACAACCTCCAACTCAAATGGCCCCCTGCAAAAGAGGGCAAAACCCCACTTTGGGAGCATGTGTAGTTGATAGAAAGGCTTTATTAGCGCTAACTGAGGATGCATACTAATTTACATTAGAAGTGAGAAACTTTTACCCATCCTAACTGTGAATAACAATGAATATGCCATGTACAATGAATATCCAAATATTTTACTGTATGTAATGTGTATTTGCATTTGGCTTGGTGTGCATGCTAGCAGGA